TCTGTGTGATTTGGTTCAACAATGAAATCTTATATTTGAGTTTTTACTTCCATACAGAGGAACTAGTGTGTGCCAGTATTTTCATTAAATGTATGCTCTGGGGACTGACTGAGCACAGATGTGCGCACATCTCCAACCACAAACCTTTACACTTTGATGTGTGTGTGTGTGTGTGTGTTTTGAATAAAGTACACTACAAGTTAAGGCAAAGAAGAAATGGTGTGGCTGGCTGTTCTGGTGAAGGGCTCTTTCTGTTTGCGTCAGCACTGCTGCCTTATAGTCGTGTTCCTGACTGACTGAGGCAGAGCCAAAACTAAGGCCTGCTGTTTTCACTGCAGTGAGGAGTTGGCAGTGTGTGAAAAGGAGGCCAGCTGACCTCTGTACCTGCCTTCCTTTCATCACGTGTTGCCACTGGGACTGGGGCTACATTGGTTTCCACGAACTAGCTCAGCATCCTGCACAGTGGAGAACAAAACTCGAGCTTTTAAATCTAAATGGGTCGTTGTAAATAATGTTTTTGTAAGTAAGTTAGTAATATCCTCAAAACAGCAGAGTTTAACCTCAGAATAATTACTTTGGAAGGTATTCCAGCCTAAACAATGTTGCAGTGTGAGAACCACCAGAGCAGCTTTTGGCCAGATTATGTTCCGAGTGCACAAAGCCTCACCAGTTTGTTCACCCTCGCATCCATTCTTTATGCTTTCTTTAGCATACAGCCTGCCTGGAGCTTATGTACTTTATAGACATGAGATGTTATGTCCTGTCAGCTGTCCTCATTGTAAGAAAGTAAGCAAGAGTTATTCCCAGCATGTCAGAAGTGTAATTATTCGCTTTAATCTTTCTTATTTTCACTTTAAAGAGGCAAGAAAAGTTTCTGCATCGCTGCTCGGAGCAAATGCAAAACACTGCTTCTGCTTGGTTAAAAACAAATGAACCAACAACAAACCGGATCAGCTGTGTGGTGGTTTTTAAGTCAATGTGCTTGAGTTTTATGTAAGCTTTTTATAATAGTCGTCCATCCTTCTAATCTGCCTTGTATACTTTCAGCCATGTTGGTCAGAGCTGATGAAGACGTTACTGCCAAATCCACTTTGTTATGGACGAGGCATTCCCCATTCATCACAGCAAAGCTACAGACATCAGTGAGCATGAATGATCTCTAACCCCTGGAGGTTGAAACGGTTAAAAATAGCTTATTAAAGCTGTGCACAGGGGAAGTAATTAGTATATCCATCTAGCTATTCAGAGACCCTTATTAGAGCTAGATGATTTTCTTGACTGAGAAGGGTTGTTGTGTTATTTCACAGTGTATTTAGCAGTGAATCCACCATTTCCTGTGTCTGGAAGTGAGTCTGTGCCACGAGGACGCATCTATACACTTGTTCCCTGTGTGTTTCCTGTCTGGCTTTGTGTCGGTACCTTTCCTGTGTCCAGCTCCATGCTTAGAAATACAAAGGGTTGTTTAAGGTCATGATGCTGCAGAGGAATGACAGTAGCCAGAAGTCGTCATATATAAAATATAGTTGTGTTGTTAAATAGATCGTTAAGAAGCATTCGGTCATCAAATTCATCAAAATAAAATTCCAGGTGGAAGATATACTTCTTGATGAGAATTGTGCAAAATTAATAAATAAATAAATATGGGATGAATGTGTCGTCTTTGGTCAAAAAGGCAGATGAAAATACTTGTTGTTGAGAAAATGATCACAGAAACTTAAGAAAGTTTAAAAAAGTTAATTTTGTATTTTGTACCCGGTGTTATACCTGAGGAATATCATGGAAATGTTTTTGCCTGATTTGGACTGTTTTTAAAGAATATTAGATGGGCGGTATGCATAAAATAAAATATCAGTCTCCTCCCTCCAAAATTGTTTCCACAGCTTCCTCTGCTGTTAGATGAGACATCCAAACACTTTAGAGACTTAACATAAAATAATGAATATGTTAACTTGAGCTACTCTCAAAAATCATAACATATGTACTAGGGCTGCCACGATTAGTCGACTAGTCACGATTACGTCGACTATCAGAATCGTCGACGACTGATTTAATAGTCGACGTGTCGTTTGAAGCTTTGTAAGATCACAAAAGACGCAGGAATAAGTTGTAGAATTTAAGAGTGTAATAACGGACTGAAACAGAAGATGGCAGCACTGCATGTACAAGGACCCCAGCTGCCGTTAAACCCCGAAGAAGAAGTAGCTGCGTCCCAGCTCAGTTTCCAACAATGGCGGCAGCTAGCTAGTTTTAATATTATTCTTATTATTCTTTCTGGGTCACAAAATAAACGTTTAACATATTTTCAGGCGAGAATGTAGCTGTGTAAACCTCAAATATCTGCTCAGTTTATCAAGACACCACATATTTTCAAAAGCGCTCCGACGTTTCCGGAGACGTCTGTTACCCACTAGCTCGATAGCTAGCCGGGGGCTAGGCTCATTAGAGCTGTGAGAACACCGGACTCCCGGTAAATCGTTTTCAAACCCACCGCTGTCTTTCACTACTCAGGTTAAACATATATAAGTAACTTAGATAACTTAAAAATTTTATTGTTTGGCGCTTTTTTTGTATTTTATTTGTTCTGAGTAAATCGGTTTGGCTGAGATTAAAGTTATAGTTTTTACACAGCTGAATAAACATCAAGCAGACAGCTGATTATCAGAAGTGTGAGATGCTCCAGAATATACTCTGGTGTTCCGTTATATTTTAGATAGCAAGGAGTTTATTAAACTTCACCAAAACAATCTGCAAATTTCATTAAAATTTAATAAACTATTATCTTGTCTTTATTTTTAGTTAGCACAGACCTTAAACACTTAAAGCTGTAAGCTAATGATAGTTATATAAGAGCAGATGCTGCTGGTGCAATAAGCTGTCCGTTTTACGTCCAATGGATGATGATCTGATTAGTCGACTAATCGCAAAAATAATCGGTGACTAGTCGACTATCAAAATAATCATTTGTGGCAGCCTAATATGTACGTATCAGATATTCCTTCTAAAACAATGGTCAGGATGGAGACATTTGATGAATTTACATACGTGACATTCAAGAAGGTGCAGGTCATGTATGACATGAACTGATGTGGTTGATGTGGTTTTTAATTAGTTTAGTTGTTTGTTTGTTTTTACTGTGCCAGATCAGAAATTGTTCATCGCAGATTCACATCTGTAGGATTTGTGAATGTAGTGCTTTGGAGGCCTGGCATTAAGTGCTTGATGTAAAATATTGTACAACAAATCATCATTGTAAAATTCTCCATTTCACACATGTGAGAAAACTATAATCTTTCATGTTTTCTTTCCCAGTATTGTTACATTTGTAACAATATGTATGTTTTTTTTTAAATACTTTTTAATTTGTCGCTCTTTCTCTTTTACAGAATGAAGATTCCTGAGGCTGGGAGTTAAAGCTCTCTACCAGAGAGAGGGTTTTTCCAGAGCTGAGGCTGGACCCAGAAGCCCCTTTCTGGGGGTGAGGGGGGCCTCGCAGCCCGGGAGTTAGTCTGGACCATGGGAGATGGAGGTGCCGGTGCGGCTGGAGGAGATGGGGTGAATCAGTCCCATGTCCTGTTTGACAACTTTGTCCAGGCGACCACATGTAAGGGCATTCTCAAGGCCTTCCAGGAGCTATGTGACCACCTGGAAGTAAAGCCCAGTGATCACAGGATCTTCTATCACAAACTCAAGTCCAAACTCAACTACTGGAAGGCCAAGGCCCTCTGGGCCAAGCTAGACAAGAGGGCCAGCCACAAGGAGTACAAGAAGGGCCGTGCCTGTGCCAACACAAAGGTAAGGCAGCATAATTTGAAAATCACTGTTTTTGTTGTTGTTGTTGTTGTAAAGCTGGATTTGTGTGGTTAGCTTTGGCTCCTGTTCCCATTCATATCTAACAGACTGAACAATATGACCCTCAGTATGTTGATATTGGGATATTATTAAAAAATGTTTTAGTACAACTTTGGTAAGCCGCACTGCTTGATGGATTGTCAGAGCATTACAGCTGCCGTAGTAAGGAGCTTCGCGGAGTAATCTGGGTCCTAAACTCCGTCCATTCAGGTCCCAAAGTCAAACGAACACTGAGAGTTAAAAACGGTCTAAATTCTTTCATCTTTAATTAAATCATCAGCGTTGCTGCTTTACCAGGTGTAACAATTAAGTTTTACATCCA